GCTGTGGCAGGATTTGGCAGGCCCGTATGTTTGGAAGGCCATTCAAGAGGACATATGGTGGCAGGTAAGTGGCATAGCAATCACAGTAGAAATAATCCTATTGCCAACTCTGACACACTAGCAATATCACCATTTCTTCCTAATTTTGATTTTTTATCATGGTTATAATAATGATCCACAATTTGGAAATCATGAGGTAAGATCAAAGGCTAATCAAACTAATTACAAATAGATATTGTCATGTATAATTTACTTATTATAGTAAATTAAATATTTTATGCATTGTTTTGATCTGGAAAGTCCTCAAATCAGATCAAGTGTGTACTTGGCCTTTTTTCCATGAAAACAAGAATTATTTTTGCCCAAAATTTTTAATATATTTGTATTTATTTGTATTTAGTATTGAGGTAAAAATATTGGGGCTTCAGGAAAAAGTATCTTTCTAAAAACTTTTATCTTTCAGGCACGAACACTTTTCTACAGGAGAAGAAAACATGGTACAATAGCTTCTCCTGTAGAAGGATGTTCGTGCCTGAAAGCTAGAGATTAAAGTTTTTGGAAAGAAACTTTTCCCTGGAGGCCTGATTTTAACTCGAGGGATTATTTTTTGAAATGTATTTTAGTGTGTGTTGTTAGTGCCCATCATCTTAAAACTATTTCAAAATGTGAAAAAATAGCACAAATGTGACATTGTACTGGGATAAAGGTGCATAATTATGAAAAAGGCATCTCCTATCGTGCAACTGAAAGTTGCTGATGGCTTGCGTCATCTATCGGATAAATAATTTCAGAATAAATTATTCCGATAGATGGCAAGCCATCAGCAACTTTCAGTTGCACGATAAGGAGATGCCTTTTTCATATTTTCAAAATATTTAGTAAAATAGCTTTTTTCTCTATTTTTATTCTTCTCTCTACCACTCTGGCAGATAAAATCATCATTTATTTAAAGGAAACATTTGTGTTTTATGGTTCTAGTTCTTGTTGTATAGATGGTTGTTTATAAAATACTTGTTCCTTGTGATGTCCTCTTACCTGAGAGAGTTGCTAATTAGTTAAAATTATCCATTTGGTGATGGAAACGTTTTTGAGAGAGGTGTCCTCATGGAAATTCTACTGTATAGACTATTTGAGTTAGGCAGAGATGAAGTGACAGTACTCATTGAGATAACACCAATGGCTTACAATTTTATGATGGCACTAGTTTCAATACATGTTGTAGTGCTACAGTGTATCACCCCCTATTGATTCACATTTTATAATTCACTTTGTCAAGTCTCTACTATGAACCAAATGTGATGCTAATTACCTGATTTTCAGGTATTGGGTCTAGTCAGATTTTTTTAACCTTTGTTCAAAAACAGGAACAATTCTATAATATTTCTGTAAAGATTTAGTCTGGTTACTTATTTCTTAACCATTGATTTGCATATCTCTTTTTTTGTTAACATTCAGGACAGTGTAAGGTAGAAAGTTCTTGTTTTAACAAGTCTAGTGACATTCAAGTTCAATCGTTCTTAATCAGTTTTTGTTAGATTCTTTTAAACAATAAAAAATATAAATTCCATGTTAAAAAACGATTTTGTAGAAGAAAAGAATCTCCTGATGGTGCAACTAAAGTTTCTGATGGTTTATGGCATCTGAAAAGATATCATCTCTGCTAAATGTCAACCCCCCTGTCTGCAGGTACTCAGACCCCAGGAAGATCATCCCCTACCGAGACTTGGACGCCCCAGAGGACGCGGACATCTAGAAGCCCATATGTCATTTTTAAATAAAAACATTGGAGAGAGGAGATCACAATAGTGTTTGTTGGTTTATTTGTAGACACATCACCTTGGTCCCAACATCTAGTGGAAGGTCAGTACACTCTCTATCTACAGCACATTTACAAAAATATCCTTCCTTCTCCCTAGTTAGCCACAAATATGAACACATGGTTGTTGACCTCCGTGGGACAGCTAGTGGGGAGCTAGTCACTGTCAAAGTGGATGTTGGTGAGTGGTGGAAGCGCTGTCTGCCAGCGTAGTCCGAGTTGTCCTGGTCAGCTGGGAGGCTGTCACTCCACTCCTGGGTGGATGGGGCCACCACAATCATGGTCTCCATCCACGGTCGACACCTTCATCATGGTGTACACTTGGTTAGAAACATCATTCAATTATAGCCCCCTTCATGGAGAATCACATTTTAAAAAACTAAAAAAATATTTACTAATAATCCACATTCACTCATGAATTGACTGTATTGACTCATCCATTGATGAGTTCTATCATCTCAACAGATTACCATCAAAAAGTCTCATCTTTACAAGCTTGATACCCTAATATGATTGTGTGGAGATAAGAAAGAAGGAAAAACTCATGAATTATATTTATACATCCTTATTTTTACATATCTATCCAGCCCCTCACCCTATTTACATACTATTTAAAAAACTAAAATTGAAGGCATTATCCTAAGGTGAATAGGGGAGCTTGGAGTAAACATCTGAAGTACATTTTAACACAATTTATTCTAAACTAATTTTTCAGAAAAAGAACCACAACTCTTAAATTACAAATATATATAGAGATAAGAAAAAACATCTCTTAATAAGTATGTAGATAGATATTTGGTCCATATAGTTTTCTAAGCAGTGCTTGGTACAGAAGTGTTTGCCAGTACCTTCTTCCATCTATGCTGTTGGCCAAATAATTTGGTCTTCCTCTTTTTGGAGATTTTCCCCCCCCCCCCCCCCCCCCCCAAGAATAAGAAAGTGTCCTTCTTCATTATAATAATGAAGTTAAAAGCTATCCTGGCTTTCCTTCAGTCCCATTGTGTGTTAGCAATCTCATTAGGATGTTCCCCCGCCCTCTAATGGGGTTGTACTCACACTTGGGAATACAAATAGGGGTTTTCCATTCATTGGGATTGAGACCAAATGGCAAAACACCTCCAGTACTTTTAGAAAGAGCTGCTCCTATAAACAGATAACAAAGAGAGACAGGAAAATGCTTCCTGGACTTACCCGAGACAGCGGAGAAACAAGTTCTTCAGCCAGGGGAAGAGTTGAAACGCCGACACCCCTGTACACCCCAACAGTCCAGAGCATTTAAAAGAGAGAAATTATCAAAATAAATTGTTAATGCTAGTTTATTAGTGTGATTTTTGGCATTTCTACAATTCTACAAAAGACTGATAATTATCATTATCTTTATATATATATTTATGTTTAATTAAAAAGGCATATATTGGATCAAAAAACATTTATTTTACTAATATATACCTTTTTAATTAAATATTTATGGATTGCTCTATTTTCAAATATATTTAGGTATATTGACAAATTATATTAATTACGATTATATATTCAATAAATGCAAAGTAATATATGTGGTATACAGGCCATGATAATCATGGTGGGTAGAAGTTGGCATTATTTTACCGTAAGTGCACCACATGTCTACACGTGAGAAAAGTAGCTTGACTTTTGCACTTATAAGTGTGTCATAGCCCCGTTGGTTACTTGCACTCATTGGTGGGGTTGGACTTTGCCACAAACGGGGGCCATTGAATCAATTTTTTTAATTAGAAAAAAAAGTGCCCAATGCTGGATTAGATCCTGGTTCATAGCGGTCGGTAAACAACAGATTAGACCACTTGTCCACCACTCCCCTTATATGTAGTTGTAAATCTCTCATATGTAAATAAGTTGACAATATACATATAAGGAGAATTATTGTTCTTTTGTGTGTGTATAGAATCGTAAGAAAATTGTATAGAAAATAAAAGTTAAGACAACTGTTGAAGGACACATGGCCCAAAATCTAGCCCCAAGAATAACTCGATAAAGAAACTTATATGTATAAGCGATAGAACTCTTCCTGTTTAGATAATCAAATAAAGTAAAGCAAGAAGGAAGATGAGTTTCTTTTTAATAAACGCGAGCGAGCTTTCGGGCGCCATTTAAGCGCAAATATCCCAAGCTGGGATATCGCGTCCGATATGTCAAATGAAATGAAAATATAGAATTATTGATATTTTAATAATTTTTTTTTTTTTGCTTATCCCTAGTACACGTGGTACAGGCCATGATAACCATGGTGGGTAGAAGAAGGCGACTGCTTTTACTGTAAGTGCACCACATGTCTACACATGTGAAAAGTAGTTCGACTTTGCATTTACAAATGTGACAGAGCCCCGTTTGGTTACTTGCACTCGCTGGTGGGGTTGGACTTTTGCAAGAATCGGGGGCCATTGGGAGCATTTTTTTATATCAGAAAAAAGTGCCCAATGCGGGAGCATATGCACTCAGGTCATAGCGGTCGAAAACCAAAGGTTTAGACCCTCCTTCCACCGACCGCCTATTTTATCCATATAAATTGAATGATATTTTAATTGTCCACTTGATAAAAGGTAAATGTACCCACACACAGTGTGGTAACTTAATTTTTAAAAAAATCTTTTAAACGTACAGGTTTTTTTTTTGTTAAAAGACGACCCATTGAATTACATATACAAAAAAACTTGTTCTTTCACAGAATCAGGTACGCCCTTTTTATAAACATATTTTTAAAATGAAAAAAAAAAAAGGTTTTCAAGTACAGTTGGACACATTTCATTATAAAGACATCACTTGGGACTGTCTGTCATGGCCATGTTTCTATAACCACAGTTAAAACAATAGGGACTTAAAACCTGGACTAGTGCCAAGAGAGGACATAAAAGTAAAAATAATTCAATCATAAATTAACCCTAGTAGATCCCCCTAGAATCACAAATATACAAACAAAGACTGACCTACTTTGGACACATAATGAGAGAAAATTAATTGGATATTGATGTTGGGAAAAAAGAAAGGAAGACCATTAAAGAACTAGGCTGGAAGGGGTCAAGAAAGCTAGAGAAGGTCACAAGTTGAGCTACAAGTTTTTTTTTTTTTCTTTCTAATCCATCAGTTGATTGCTTAAACCAACTCACACAGACCTCCTAGTATATTGATGACTGATGGGGGATAAAAACTCCCCGGCGGAGAATCAAACTCTGGTTGCCCATGTGATAGGCGGGAACACTGACCACTATACTACCGAGGAACTAGCTGTGAGTAATGATCACTAACAAATCAAATTGGGGAATATTTGTCCATTTAGTCACCAAAAGTCAAATTAGATGGACACTAACAACAACATAACAAAACAGTGGAACCTTGCTATAATAGCCTCTTTTATAACAGCAACTTATCTGATAGCATTAAGATTCAAAAGTCCCAAGTTTTAAGACTTAATTGTTTTAACCATGGTGATAACAACAAGATTATAACACATAAATCCCAAGTGATGATAGAGTGAGGCTCAATTATGAATTACTTAATGACTCACCCCAATGAGTGCAAGTAACCAAACAGTGCTCTGGCAGCTTGTAAGTGCAAAGTACTTTCTACAAGTGTATGGCTATTACACCAAATGTCTAACTTGTGTTGTTGGAATAAGCAACAACAACACAAGTGTAGACATTTGGTGTAATAGCCGTCACTAACTACCCACCATGATTATCATGTGTTCTTGTGGACCAACCTACCAGGAGGGGCTGCAGGGTAGGCCCTGCCCCACGTAGATCCAGAAAGCCACCAGGACCCCAGCCAGGCCTAGAGTCAGTGCCCATTGCACCAGTGCTGCCACTGTCAGTTTGGCGAGTGCCTGTACAAGTCACAGTGTGGAGGTTGTATGTTGTGCCAGCACTGTGTACTCACCCCCAGTAGAGACACCCAGTGCCATCCCCAAAGTCCTGGGCTCTGGCTCTCCGGCTCCACAGTGCACTGTTCTGGAGGAAACACATGGTAGGTGGGAGTCCTGCTTTGTACTGTCTATCTATTGGTTACCTCAAATCTCAGACACCATAAGAGATAAACTTTGTTTTGACAAATTCAACTTTTCAGCACACACCAACATCATATATTTACCCTTTTATATTTGCATAACCTTTCTTTTCTTTCATGCAAATATATACATATTTATTGCATTAAAAAAAAAAATCAGCAAGTGAAGTCGCCACGTGTGCAAACATTTATTTGTTAATAATATAATCCCTTTGGTAAAATTATAAATAAAAGACAACTCGCTGAGGGAAGAGTTTCTTTTACTCACGACAATACAAGCTTTCAGGCGTAACAGCCCTTTGACAGGTATAATTACAATACTAAAAACTAGTATCATAATTATGCCTGTTGTAGGGCTGTTAGTTCTGAAGTATTGTATTGTCGTGATAAAGTAAAGAAACTCTTTCCTCTCAGTGAATTGTCTTTTATTTATAAACTTCATTTGATTCTCTACTTGTGATAAAACTTAATTCTAATATCAAGGCCTAGAGGCTGAGATGGGGGAGACGCTTCTTCTTCTTTCTTATCTCCACCCAATCATATCAGGTATCAAGTTAACTCCGCCTTTGCCGATCCTAAGCCCGGATGAAAAAAAAGGAGGGGGAGCAGTAACAAGCTTGTAAAAAACCTGGGCTCAGCTGGCCCGGCTGATAGTACCCTGTAAGGGTACCCTGTATCCAGGGATACAGGATGAGCAGCGTTGTACTCCATGTTAGGAGCGGCTGCACATGGCGTCTGTTCCTCATGTTAGAGGCGGCCATTTCTTTTGGAGCTAAGTCGGCTTGCCACTGAGTAGTGCGGGAGCACACTTAAGCACTTAGGAGCACTTAAGAGTCTTAATGACAAAGGCAGACGCATTCTACTTCACCCAGTCATGATGGTTGTCAAACACCATCAAGGGTCACAACTTGATACCCTAATATGATTGAGTGGAGATAAGAAAGAAGAAGAAGGGTATCAAGCTTGTAGAGCTTGTTGATGGTGTCTCCTGGGGATGTGTAGAGCTTATCAATGGATGAGTCAATACAGTCAATAATGTGTTTTGGGGTTGCAAGTTGAGATGGGGGAGATTCTCCCCTAGTGAGGAGAACTACCCACCAGTGGGGGGCAGACAGGGGGTGACTGACTGGACAGAACTGTGTTCATCCGGGGAGGTGAGGGGAGAGGGGCTGGCAGTGGGCTGCTGGTCCGCAGAGAAGAGCTGCTCCATGTCACTCTGGGCACCATTCCCCTGTCAGCCATCGCTGCCACCATGACACTATCATCGGTACTATATAGGCTGGTGACTTACCCGGTGTAGGCTGGTGCTCTCATCCTTGGCTACTATTACAACATCTAATACTAAAACACAAATATATACACAAAACTTAAAATTAAAGAAATAATAATATAACAAAATAAAAGATGGGAACAAAATAGAAACAAAATGTAAACAACAAAAACTTAATAAATCTAATAAAATTTAAACAGAAAATTCTTAAAAAAAGAAAATAAAACTTCAAATCTGTAACTCCAGCCCCCAATGATAATTGCAATGTAGATTAATGATAAACATTATAAACCTTTTATTATAGATAAATAATTCTTCCTGATTTGAAATTAAACGAAAAAACATGGTGAAGGAAGACGAGTTTCTTTTATTGATGCATAGGTGCAAGCTTTCTTTCTTTTATATATATATATATATATTCTTCCACCATTTGCACCATAGTCCTTATAAGTCGCGCTACATTTCTCGCCTGTTGAAGGGTTTTTACCCGAAAGCTTGCACCTATGCATCAATAAAAGAAACTCGTCTTCCTTCACCATGTTTTTTCGTTTAATTTTAAACCTTTTATTAGTTTGTGATTTAATGACTGAGAATGACAAGAGTTAACAGCAAGTCTAAATTGGTAAATTATATGTGGGTTTTGGATAACAGCATTGTGTTACAGCTTCAGACAAAAGTAATGGTAACAGCAGTGTTACCAATAAACCATTAATGCCATCATTAGCAGTTCAATGTTAAATGCAGCAAAGATTTTAAAACATGCACTGTAACTATTGTTATAGCAAAAATATATGTAGTATTTCAAAAGGCAACTTTCCTTTCAAACAAAAATTCAGTTAAAAAGAGTGCACTGCTGTAATACTGCTGGACACCATTTTACTCTGACAATACTACAGCAATGCACTTTTTAGTTGGTGGATTTTGACTTGAAAAAAGAAAGGGATTTGGACTTTTGAAAATATCCAGTTTTATTTTTGTTCTAAATAAACAAATTTAAAATAACAAAAATCAAAGAATGCCATGTGATAGATGTATTAACACAAGGCTAATAAGACCAAATCCAAATATATAAATAGTGTGTGACTTTCTGTAACAGCGTTGTTACCATCTTCAGATGCTGTTACTGAAACATCACACACTATTTATTTGGATTTGGTCTTATTACCTTTGTGTTTATAATCTATAATCCAAACTGTGGCTTATGATTGATGTATTGTTAGGTGACACCTATTCAGTACTTTTTCCTGATAATGATAACAACGTCACACACTATTGATTTATTTGGATTTAGTCTTATTACCTTGTGATCTTAATCTATAATCCAAGTGTACCTAATCATAGGTGACACCTGCAATGTACAGCCATTTTTTCTAAATACAGTTAAACCTGTCTATAGCGCCTCCTCTAAATAGCGCCTTCCTCTCTATAGCGCCCGATTTTAAATACGTAGTACGATGCGATTTACATTAAAAGTGACCTGTCTATAGCACCCCCTCTCTATAGCAACCAATTTTGGTGAGTCCCAAGAGGGAGGCGCTATAGACAGGTTTAACTGTATAAACAAATTCAATAGTAAAGTCCAAGAATGATGGATGGTAAGTAGAGCACTACTCACTGTGGCCCCGTAGCCGGTGGCAGAGAGAGGGTGGCGAGCCAGACAATGGCCCATGGCCAGGGAGAAATGGCAGTAGTCCACTGCAGCGTAGGCCAGGAGGAAGGCCGTAGTTGCCAGGGGAGCCAGGCTGTTGATGTGTGCCGTGGTGGCACAGATGGCCACAGCCGCAGTCACCAGGGCTAGGGCGGGAAGGGAACACGGCCGGACCCCCTCTGCAGGATCCTCAACAAGGGCAGGTCCTGGGACAGCTCCTGCAGGGTGTGGGGGGCGGAGTAGAGGGCCCCCAGGCTGGCACTGGCTGAACTCACATACAGAGCCGCCATCAGGGGAACTTTGAGGGCTGCCACCTGCACTGCCCTCCTGTTAGTTCAGTAGATGATGAGCCATATGGAACACTTAGAATGGGCTTATTTTGGCCAACACCCCTGTATAGCCTGGTGGCTCTAACTGTAAAGTCTTATTGGATAGAGATTTAAGGTTGCTACTTGGTCAATATCAATTCATATTGAGCCTTATGCTGATGTTGAGTGTGTTCTACTAGCTACCCCACCTTCTCAGCCACCAGGAAGTCCTTGAGCAGAGAGGACCGAGTGCAGGAAGCCCCCAGACCCAGGACAAAGGTGAGGTAGACCACAGCTGCACAGCCCAGCGCGGTGAAGGTGCCATGAGGACACACTGCGGCTGGGCTGGCGTAGGTCAGAAGCCATGTTGATGCCAGCCAACACCCCTGTCACAGCGGGGTAGAACACCCCCAGCATGGTGGCCCAGCTCTCCCCCCGGCTGGTAGCTAGGTCCGGCATTGTCAGCCAAGTGACCCCCGGACCTGGGCAGTCCAGCCAGGAAGTCCACCAGTCCCAGGGCCAGCACCCCCACCAGCACCAGCTGGACCCTCACCACCCACTTCACCCCGGCTGCATTGATTCCTGCACACACCTCATTGCTGTTGGTGGTGAGAATCTCTTTCTTGAATTGATTCAACTTCTGGAAAAAAGAAATGAGTTTTATAAGACAACAGACCTTTCTTACATAATGTCCATTGTGGAAATAAAGGTTAACATTTTGCTAATCCCCAATCAAGATAAGAGGTAGTACCAGGAGGAAACTCTGTTCTCCTGATAGCATCATAATTCTAAAGTCACACAAGTCCTAAATACAAAAACAATGTGTTACTTTATTACGAATCTACCCCACTTGCCCAAAATGTAGCTTGGCCCCTGCAGCTCCAGAACACATTTTGGCTTGCATTAGATGCACTAAACAGGACCTTTGGGAGAGGCCGCTGCTTATCATAAAACAGCTCGAGGAGCATGAACTCATGGAATTTGTGTAATCT